CCAGTGATCAATCAGTTGTGAAGGTACAGATATGTAAATAATAGATAACACTGAGCTATTGAGTGATAAACCTGCATCTTTTGTCTCTCAAAACAGAGACCTTACGAGGATACTTCAAAAATGTTCACAAGCACAGAACAAATTACTTGTCAGCTGATTATCGACCTGTCCATGGAACCACCAACGAGTGGAATTCATTTCTTCAACAAGTGATTGAAGCTTCATTTTCCGACTCTTTCAAGGTGAAGTTAGACTAACTGAGAGACCATTATTGCCAGGACCAATACAGGCCATGCTGTCACATTCAAACCGAGACTGAAACCTTAAAGCTTGAAGTATTCTTAGTTCTATGGATTTGTCAGAAAGAACTGTCAAAAATGAAGAAGTTTCAGTAAGCTGACGCAATAATAACAACTTTTCATTATTTCCGTGTGAAGGGTTATTTCATGATTTCATTTTACATTGAAGCAACTGATCGTGTTTGAGTAGGTCAAATTGCGGAATTTGTTGCGACTTTTGACTAAGAAGCTTGTTGCCGATAGGTGTGCAGTTGCATTGTATGTTTTGCGTTTTCTTTAATTATCGTGTATAAAAAGATACACTTTTACCTGTCTGGCTTAGATTTTTAGATTTTGTTTTGTAGTCTAGAACGAATAGTTCACTAGTTCTGTCTAGAAAAATGTAAAGCTTAATATTCTATGACACGTTCACCGTATCTACAGGAATAAGTTTATCAACTTCAAAACGACAGAGGTATTAGTGAATAAAGTTTAAAACAATAAGTAGTACAGTACTTGTTTTTCAAACTCGTGCGCTTTCTTATGCCTGTACATGTATTTTATTTGTGACATATTACCAGGTTGAAAAGCTTAGCGAGTTGCTGACTTACACCTGTTACCCCTCGTTGTTCAGCATATGATACCGACCAGAATCCTACAACCAACTCTGTCCTTTGCTTAACTTTCCAGTTTTTGCCAAGTGGCAATCATTCCTTTGGTGTTTTAGATTCCTCCACGCAATATGCTCTTTAGCCTTCCTCTTTTCCATTCTTCATTCAGGATTCCGAGTTAGGATTTTATTCGTGATCCAGTTTGGTGATTTCCGCAATCTCATGTTCTATATTCCCCAGCGTCTATTTTCTAGTTCCCTCGTCAGATGGGAGCCGGTTTTTCCTTAGCCACAGTAGGTTGTTGCTGATAGTGTCCAATCAACAAACTTTGAGTTTCTTGCGTAGACAGTTGTTTACAAATATTTGTTCTTTTTTGGTGATGGTTGTGGTATTCCTTCAAGTTTCAGCTTCGCACAGTAGTACTGTTTTGACGTTTGTATTGAAGATTGTGACATTGGTTGACAGGGTGAGATTATAATTTATGGTCGACATTTGAGCGACGCTAGACTGACTTTTAGTGTCCACCTCATAACAAGGATCAAGTGAGGGTTACGAACCTGTGTGAAGAGTTGCGATTATGATTCATAGTTGATGATTAAGATCAGAAATTAAATTTAGGGTTTCGTCACGAACTGACATCAGCTATGATGCCAGAATCCTATTCATGCAAATGGATAAGTGAATTTCGCGCTAAAATCTGAGACCCTTGTTTATGTTGAGGCTTACCGATGCAGAGGCTGCCGCTAAATTGGCTGTCCTTTCCTTCATTTTTTCGTGTGTATGTGATAGGATGGCCAGATCATCTAGTTACATCCAAGATGTCCATTTTATTACGTGCTTGTCATCAGATGTGTCCTTCATAATTCAGTCAACCATCAGAGGATAAAGAAAGGGAGAAGGTAAGCAACCTTCTATGACTTCGGTCCCTACTTGGAATGTATCTGTCAGCTGTTTCCCATGCACTACTTTTTAGTGTAGTCTATTGTATGAATTCCGTATGATTTTGACGATTTTCCCGGGTACACCATAGTGTCGAAAGAGTTTCCATAGTGTCTTATCTACACACAAAGGTTTTCTCATAACCAAGGAAGTTGATGTATAGTGATGAATTCCATTCGATTGATTGTTCGACGATGATCCGTAGTGTTTCGACTTAGCCTGTCCACGACCGATCATTATGGGATCCAGCCTGTCGATCTCGAAGTTGTGCGTCTACTGAGTACTTCATCCGTTTCAGCGACACTGTTGAGACCCTTTCCGGGTACTGACGGTAGTGTGATGCCTTTGTAGTTCTTGCATTTGCTCAGATCTTTTCTTGGTATCTTGATGAGGTGTCCTTTCCAGTCCGTCGGCACTTATTTATTTGAACACAAATTTTGGTACAAGAGGGCACCAAATATATATGCGCCACACAAAACAATGAGAATGGATAGAGAAAAAAATGGCAAGGAGCGTAAAAGAAAAAAGGACAATAAAGACCAGATTAGTGTAAGGTAGTGTAATAATAATAATAATAATGGGGGAAACGAAAAGGTACAATCAGAAGAAATCTTTCAGTTAAGGAAGATACAATTACTTTTTATGAAGAAGGTAAAAAAGGTTACAGCAGGATCGCCATTGGCTTCTATTCTGAGCCATATCTGATAGCGTTTCTAACCACTGTGTTACACCGTCTCTCGGACCCCAGCCAGGAAGTCGTGAAGGACCAACAGAAGCCAGCCCTATGCAGCTTCCTTTCATACCACGACACTGTGTCATACACTGACCACCTGTCCGCTTTTTCCAACCAGTCAGCGTCGGCAAATAATGCACGACGTGGAATTCTCTGGGACAACATCCGTAGAACATGTCCAAGCCACCGAAGTCGATGTTTCAATATGGTGACACCAATTTGACTATAGTCTCTGTGCCCGAACACACGATGCCGAACCTCTGCATTACTGACATGGAGTTGCCACTAGATGTCAGCGATTTCTCGGAAACAGCGATGGTCGAACACAGAGAGTCGACTAGCATACTCAACTGAGAGAGATCAGGTTTCACAAGCATAGAGCAAAACTGCTCTCACCGACGCGTTGTAGATCCGATCTTTTACAGTCAGACTAAAATCACAAAGGCGCCAAAGATGGCCCAGATTGACATAAGCCTCTCTGGCTTTCAATATGCGTGCATTGATCTCATCACTCAAGCCACCACCAGCACTTATGCAGCTACCTAGATACACGAACTTCTCGACTACTTCTATCTGCTCACCATCCAGAGGGAGTACAGGATTAGAATCCTGCCAGTCTTGTAGAAGCACTTTGCACTTCGAAGGTGCAAAGCACATACCATACCTACGGACACTGATTGCCAACTGATTATGTGCAGATTGCATGACTTGGGCATTATCGCACAGTAAGAAAACATCATCCGCATACTCAAGGTCGAGAAGTCTTTCTCCAGGCAACGGATTTACACCGCCATTACTTACATCCATCAGAGCTGTTTCCAGAGTGTCATCGATGGCAAAGTTAAAGAGGAATGGTGAGATGGGGCAACCCTACCTAACTCCACTGCTTGAATGGAATAATGGAGAAAGGTGGTTGTATGCCCTCACTCTGCCTGAGGTGTTTGTATATAGGGCCTTTAAGATGTTAATAAACTCCGGCACACCCTTCTTCAATAGACAATCCCATAGAAGTCTTGTCCAACGGATCGAAGGCAGCCCTCATATCAAGAAACACTACGATTGTTGGCCTTTAATAAGTATGACGGTGTTCTAACATTTGGCAGAGGGTGAAGATATGATCATTGCATCCTCGACCGGAACAAAAACCTCGCAAGTCAATATTTCTCGGGTTTTGAACTACCTACAAAGTATGACGGAAGCCAACAGCTTGGATGCAATCGGAAGTAGACTTATTCCCTTATAGTTTTTACAGGAACGACTTAAAATCTCTTTAAAGATAGGAACAACTATTGACTCATTTCATGACGTTGGTACACTCTCTAGCTCCCAGACGTTTTACCTAGGGAAGTAAGTTGTCCCCCTGCCCAGCCTTCCTTTATCCAGGCTTGAAATCTGCAGCGATCCTAAAAGGGCTACCGATGGATTTGGCTGAGTCGATCTTTCTAAATACAAAGTAGTAAATCTTTGATAACATCAAGTAGTTACGTCACCTAACTTTATTCCATTCAGCAAACGTGACAGTTCGTTAACTGTTGGTAGACTTTTTGGTTGGAGTCCGCGAGATAAACGCTACCAGTGGTTAAAGGCTCTGAATTATTGACTTTTTCAGTTGTTTACAGATAAGAGCTGTTCTGTAACATTCAGTCTAGATTAGTGTATTATGTCTAAGCTTCAAATTTGATATTTTTATCACCAGCTACTTCGTATTCGCTCTCAGTTTTGGCTTCCCATTTTCTCCCCTAGAATTTCTTTTGTATGACCGTATAATTCCCACGTAGACATACCTTGTTCCGTTGGCTGAAATACTTGTTTCAGTGTTTCAGTTACAATTGAGTCTAGGACGTAAATAATTTCACATTCTACTACCTAAGTTATGTGAAATAAGTTTTATACAATCTAGTTCAATGCAGGAGCAGAAATCCAGTGGTTAGAGCATTTTACCTTCACTCATTAAGTTCCTGGTTCAGACCCAACTCCACCGACCTCACTTTAGCTAATCGAGTAGTATCACTTGCCCTCACACAGTGGCTCATATTCAAGTACCTGATGATTTAACTAATTTAAATTAAATTTTAAGGATGAACACAGTTACTGTTGTATGTTAATAATCCATGGGTGTAAATAGACTTCATGTGGGGGAAATGTTAGTAATAAGTCTCACAAGCGTTAGCAAACAATAAGTCGATGTTGATCAAAGTCATGCAAAGCGAATACGCTGTGCTTTCGTAATTATCGAAGTCCCTCTATAACTGAAACCGTCATTGGTTTTAATGGTTTTAATCGATAATCTTAACACAAACACTAATCTATAGGTTAGTTGCTAAGGTAATTAACTTAATTACGTCGGCAAATTAGTTTGATGCCTTTTCTAAAGTGCATTGACATTTTTAAAATTTGTTTTCCTTTTTTTCAGTTAAACTCTTAAAAGCTAAGTACTAAATGGCCTATGAAATGATGTCATATTCGAATCGAGATAGTGGACGGGACTACCGTAATGGTTCTCGTCATGCTGAGCATGCGTAAGTGCAGTCATTCATAGTTCGCATTTATTATGAGTCATACTGTATATTAGCAAGTTCAAATCATTTAAACTACATTGTTTTATAAAGTATGTTGATTCGTAGTTTTATTGGTTCGGATACGGTCTTTAACCAACATCCTGAATTTGTATACCACATTAGTAAAGTTTGTATATCCAGTGTATTGCAATCATAATCGATGTAGCTCGTAGTATTACATAGAAACTTAAATATAATTGTTGAATTATTGCTACTATAATTATTAATAATGTCAGGAGCTGGGTAAGAAATTAACGAAATTTTGGTCTATAGACAATGTATTTGTTTTGTTATCATTGTGGTTCTTTACCTAAGTCTATGAAGCCTTGATCAAAGATTTCGTTTTTTTCTCTGTTGTATCAGTTATAGATCTAACAACTTTCTCCAAGACAACGTAAATCTTTATGTTAGATCCAACTCAGTCTTAATTCTGTCTCACTTTTCTCTGTAACCATTAACTATTTTGAATGAAACTCAAATTGAGCAAACGAAAAAAACCTAATTCTGCAGTCTAATTTGCGTTGTATTTTAGATCTTGTTTTTAACAACTGTAATATTTTAACATGTTTGGACGACTTGAAAGTACCATCAGAACTTAGATAATGGATATGATTCATAGTCTGGTACATGTCCCTGTTAGCAGCTGCTGAGTTGCATATTTTTGTGCTTATTGTTTTGCTGATCTCATATGGATATATATCTATGTGATAATTATAAAACGTAATTTTCATATGTAAATTCTTAAGCTATAGTTTGCATGCTTAACTGAGCTCTTTAATAACTCGAATAAATATCATCCATAAGTTATGTTCACCATATGAATTATCGTTATTGTTCCGTACATTTCACCAAATACGCCTTTTCGAACCTAGATTATTTGGAAGTCAGTCAGTCAGTCAGCTGCGACGTAGGACCAGGCACGTATATGCATCGGTCCAAGTTGCCATACCGCATTAGCACAACAAGATGAACACCGGATTCATAGAAGTAGTTAATTCAGTGGTGGTAATATATAGAAGAAAGAGTGTGTATAAGGAGATAGTACAGGAAGATAGAATTAGTTCCTAGAAAGAAAGATTTGAAGCGATTTCAATCTCTTAGTTTAAAGGAAGACAAAGAGTGTATACACCGACGCCATTGTGATCGATTCTGATCCATGTCACCCACAGTCTCCAACCATTGGTTACGATAGTCACGCGGACCCCAACCAGGCATTCTCCATCTACCAACATGGCTCAGACCAGAAGTTAGTGACTTCAAGCACTGATGCCACGTTTTGGTTTGGCCGCCCCTAACTTTCTTCCAGTCATCCCTAACACCGGTTACCATTGCGCGTCGTGGTAATCGGTGTTCAGGCATACGCAGCACGTGGCCCGACCATCTCAGTCGATGAAGGTTCATAACCTCATCAACTGACTTACCATCATTCCCTAATACCCTGCGTCTAACCTCACTATTACTTACCCGGTGATCCCAGCAGATACCAGCAATATTTCTAAGGCATCTGTGGTTAAACACGAATATCTCTTCTTAAAGGCCATGTTTCGCAGCCGTATAGTAGAACGGAACGAACTGCCGCGCAGTATACTCGTCCCTTAATTGATAGACGGATATCTCGCCTTCGCCATAGATGACGTAAGTTGGCAAAGGCCAAACGAGCTTTTCGAATCCGTGCTGAGATTTCGTCAGACACCAACCCATTAAGGCTGATCAGACTTCCAAGATAAGTGAAGTTGTCGACGCGTTCGACTACTTCACCCCCTATCCTTAGTTCAGGTGTTGACGCAGACCAGTCCGGAAGCAACAACTTGCATTTAGAGGGAGAGAAGCGCATCCCAAACATTCTGGCATTGTTGCTCAGTGCTACCAAAAGACTCTGCATTTCATCAGCGTCTTCACCAAACAGGACTATGTCATCTGCGTATTCTAATTCAATAAGTGGACCTCCTGGTAGGAGATCAATACCTGAGAATCCAGTCGATGAGAGCGTTATTTCCATCAGTAGATCTATGATGAAGTTGAACAAAAATGGAGAAAGTGGACAGCCTTGGCGGACGCCACTTGAGGTTGCGAAAGCAGATGACAGTTCGCCATAAGCTCTCACTCGACTAGTAGTGTTCGAGTAAAGAGCTTTCACAAGGTTTATGTACTTCTGAGGTACGCCTTTCAATGACAGACACTGCCACAGAACCTCTCGGTCAACAGAGTCAAACGCTGCTTTTAAATCAAGGAAGACCACTATTGTCGGACGCCGATAAGTATGCCTGTGTTCTAGAACCTGACGAATGGTGAATGTGTGGTAGATGCAGCCACGACCAGGTCTGAAGCCAGCCTGATTTTCACGTGTTTGCAGCTCACAAGTCTTAGTTAGGCGTCCGAAAATTATCGAAGCTAGTATTTTAGATATTATGTTGGTTAAACTAATCCCTCTGTGGTTGTCACAGGATGATTTTGACCCTTTCTTAAATATTGGGACGATAAGTGATTGTGACCAGTTAGATGGGATGACGTCTAACTCCCAGATTTTAGCTAAAATATTAGTCAACCTAATCGCTAAAACTAGACCACCATCCTTAAAGACCTCTGGGGCCAATCCATCTGGACCAGCTGCCCTTCCTCGTTTCAGATTAGCTATAGCCTTTTGAACTTCAGCTAGAGTTGGGGGACCTACTTCAATGTTCCATTCATACTGTCTGGGAATAGAGGGTAGTTGTAGAGTAGCTGAAGGCCAACTGAACTGCTCCTTAAAATGTTCCGCCCATCGTTCTAAACGTCTGGACTGGGAGCAGATGTGAGTGTCGTCTTTTTCCGAAATAGTCTGACTTACACTTGATTTATTAATCCCAGTTTCTTTTATTAGTCTGTAGAGTTGTCTTGTGTTCCCTATAGCTGCCGCCTTTTCCATCTCTTTTGCTTTCGTTGCCCACCACTGCTCACGATCGTTCCTTAGACTTTTGCTTAACCTAGATCTGATTTCTTTACGCTCTTCATCGTGTTCAGAACCTGATGGGATGAGTTTGCGAGAATCTATCAGTGCAATAGACCTTGAAGAAATCCATTGGTTCTTTGTAACCCTGTGGTTTAAATCACTAGTAGATGTCACTGCTGTTTCCACAGCTGCTTGTATGTCTTTCCAATCAACATCAGGGTCAGCCTCGTCTTCAGAACTACCTAAGTGTGACCTCAGTTGTTCCTGAAACCTACTTTTGGTTTTCTCATTACTCAATTCGGTTCTAATGAGTCTTTTTTGTGTGGCTTTTTTGCGTCCAGTGAGGCGCAAGCAGATGCGTGCTCGTACTAGGGCATGGTCGGAGTCCAAGCAGGTACTCCAGAATGAGCGACAATCTTCTATTGACCCTCTCCAACGATGACTGATGGCAATATGGTCTATTTGAGTCCATCGATGGTTTGGTGCAGGGGGTCGCCATGTTAGACGTTTTCTCTCCTTATGCTTAAAATTTGTGTTTGCTAAAAATAAACGATTGTCTGAGCACAGTTGCAGCAGACGATCACCATTATCTGTTGGCTGTGCCGGAATACTAAAATACCCGCCTAAATGTCTTTCTGTTTCGTTTAAGCTACCTACCTGGGCATTAAAGTCGCCTGCTACGACTACTATGTCTGGACGTTTAGCTTTCTGAAGAAGTTCAGACAGCTTTCTGTAAAATTCATCTTTCACTTCATCCGAACTGCAGTCAGTGGGAGCGTAGGCAGAAACGACGAAAAGGCAACGACGTGTGTCCCTATCCTTTCGAGTTCTTACGGAGCCGTTTAGCCGAACAGCGCATAGACGACTATTAACGGGGATCCACTCTAATAGCGCTTGTTCTGCCCTCATGCTTAGTGCTATGCCTACACCTGCCAGTCCATGAGAACTAGCCATCGGGTCGCCAGATACACGGAGGGTGTATCTCGTCGGCACTCCGTTTTGCCGAGGTGAGGTCAAGTGAATGACCACACTAGGATCCTGTATGCGTGTTTCGGAGACACAGCATACACCAATGGTACGAGATTCTAAGGTTTTAGCCAAGAAAGCCTGCTGACCGGTTTGGCATAGTGTGCGTACGTTGAGGGCTCCAATGTGTAGTTTGGAGCGAGGTTTCAGTAGACCTGGGATAGTGTTTTGAGCACTAGAATAGTTGGCTGTGGTGACACTTGAGGAGGAAGCCGAAAGAGGGAGTTTAGATTTGAAAGTCGATGTAAGAGGAATAATAGGAATTGAAGAGGTAGGTTGATTATGAATACAGTGGTCCTGAGTGCTGTTAGAGGTATGAGGGCGGTTACCACTTCCCGGTTGCCCACATCGTGGAAGGGTTCTTCTGGAGGTACCTAAAAAGGAAATTGGATTAGAGGTGGTCACAGTGACCTGAGAGCGTGACGGTAGTGCCCAAGGAACAGCTGCTTGAGGTCGGTCACACACGACCTTTTTATGAGTAGTTTTTGTGTTAGCTCCGTACTTGTTGAGACCTTACCGCTGGAGACGGATATCCGTGGGATAAGGCGAGGTGTGCATTTTTAGGGTCGACCTTTTCTAACCCCTCCCCTCCTTTTGGGAAGGCAGCATCGCTGTTATGCTGGTTGTCTGAAGGAAACACCTTACTGCTGTCACACCTCTGTACAGTCAGCAGTACGACTTCGCCTTCGGACCTTGGTTTTGTTGCTTTTAGTCTTACCGCTCTTCAACCGACCTGTCTGGCATGGTAGGACCTTGAGGAACGGTTGTTCCAGCCAGTATAGCTCAGTTGCTTCATCACGATAGGCAAGCCCGACCACCACGTCAAGGTAGCAATATCGGTCAGGAGATTATTTGGAAAGTGTAGATACTTCTAGTTGAGTTATTTAATCTTATCGTTGGTTAGACTGCTTTAGCTACTTAACGTAGAATAGGGTCTATGATTTATTTTTTCTTCGTTTTAGATATGAAAATTCCGTTTCAAGAAAACGTTATCGGGATGTTCCATTCCAGTCACGAATGCCTTTTGAAAATGATTTAAAAGATAGGGAATATGACTACTACAATCCAAACAAGGAATATGTTTCCCCCAGTAAAGAACTTCGACGTAGTAAACATGATGTAGAGAAGTTTCGCCAAGATCCGCGGTACAGTCGTGATTCAAACACTAGTCCTGTTCCGAAAAAACGTAGTAAAATGGACAGTCGAGTCGAATCATCTCCTCCCAAACCATCTCGTGTACTTGGTGCTTTTGGATTGTCTATGCGTACTGAGGAACGGCATTTGTATGACATAATGAAAAAATATGGCGAAATAGAGGAGATAAAACTTGTTCAAGATAATTTATCTGGTAAGTCAAAGTAGATTATTCTGTATAGTTAACTTATACAGTGTTTACAAGGTGCTCCAACCATATAGTTAGATTAAAGTATGGTGCATACTGTTTTATGCCCAGTTGTATCACAATATATGTTTTGAATAAATAAAAACAAAATAGGTATGATAAGTGAAATTTCATTTCCAAATTTCGGTGTTTGTTAACTAGTTTTTGGATAGTTGGTCTTGTTTGCCCTTTTGTAAAGTATTTGAGTAAAATTACCTACCAGACACTAATTGCCCATCCTACCTAAACAGTTGTGAAAATGTTTCTCAATTGTTTTTTGAACAAAAGTATTTATTTACATATTGTTTGCCATCTTCACAATAGTTTCCACTATTGTCAAGGTTTATTTTAACCACTTGGATATGAATCTCGTTCTTATGCTATTTCATGTTTCTTCATACTTCCAATTATTTATTAACAGGGCGTTCACGTGGTTTCGCATTTATATATTTTCGGTCTATTGAATGTGCTCGTTCAGCGCGCGCTGCATGCGCTCGAGGTTTGGAACTACATGATCGTATTGTTCGCATTGATTACAGCTACACTGAGCGACCACACAATCCTACACCTGGAATATATATGGGCAAAGAAAAACGGTAAATTTTCATAGTATAATAAGGATGGCTTAAATATCATTCATGCATATGTTTTTGGTTTGCGTATACTTTGTGTTGTCGTACATTTGCACCCCGTTTCACTTCTGTGCTTCGCTAGCTTTCTTGTTCACTGATATTGATGATAACAACTAAAAACCAGGACATGGAAATAACTTCAGCTTATCTACAGTTGTCCATCTGTTCGTAAATGAGATACCTATCTTTTCACATATAAAAAGTGTTTATATTTGTTTCTTCATACATTTTGAAGATACGCAAGGAGTACTGTACTCATACTGATGGTTTATTAGAAAAAACTCAACATCAGACAGAACCTCAAAATGTCAAAATGAAGATTATTAAATAAAGGATGCAAAAACTGACTATTTCTAATGGATTCATCTTTCTTTTGAACATCATCTCATATCCATTCTGTTGTTACTGTGTATCTAATGTCCTTTCCGAATTTCAGCACAATGTTATCAAAAAACTACATGTAGAGGGAAAAGTTAAAATTTCAGCACAGTTCATCGACTCATCATTCCACAATAACCCTACAAAAAGGGAAAATAAATTCACAAATAAAAGAATCATTCGAATATGACACAAGAAATGTCATCTCTCTGTGTGTTAAGGAGATTCACTTATGTGAAAACAATGTAATGACACCCCATTGATCTTAAGACCGGGAAATACTGAATGCAATTCTTGTCAATAATTTTTTGTTGACGAAGTATTTTTTCATTGATCGGTTTCCAATGTCTCAACAATCTCACATGGAAGACTCAAACTTCCATACAACAACTATTGACTTCATATCTTGGTGATTATAATGAATACATTTTTCTTAATGACCTAATCACACTAGTCAAAATCTTATGTACAGATTACTTAACCAACATTTATGTCGACTAGTTTGAATTTATTTCAAAACACTTAAATTAAAATAGCAAGATTTATAAAACTTTTCGTGTATTTATGTATGTATACAAGACAATGGTACGACAACCTAAGTCAGTCAGCCATAATCACTGTTAAACTTGTCACGCTTGTAAATCTGTGTAGGTTACCATAACATGCTTTCTAAATGAATGGAATGGATAAACCATGGTGACATATTGAACTCAATAATATGTATGCTAAAGTACTCTATTTTATTGTAAATTTCCGTTTTGTTAACCTCCATCTGAGTAAAACGTTTTAGATGAGAGAGAAAATTTACTCATTGTATCCAAGGTATCTTACTTTATGTTTATGAATTAAATCCATGATGAATCTAGATGAATTTCAACCAGATATGGATGTTAAATGAGAATGCAAGAATTCAGTACTCTTAAAACACCACAATTGATTTTTACGTAGTTTTTATGAAATGCTGATGAGTCCAAACCAATAAAATATTTATAAGTTGACTCACTATATTTTAAAAATTTTTGCAAGATTGTTTACAAATCATAGAATACAAAATAATTTTTCGCTTTTAGAATGATTACTGTGAGAATGATTAACAAGCTGAATACATAAAATATAAAACGTTTAAATCATCTCATTGGTAAACATCAACTCTGTGTAGAAGTTGATATTCTTGTATACTATGGAATAGCTGTGTCTATCAGTCATAATTAATATAGAGTCGGGCAGAAATGTAGATTGAAGCGGAAATTAATAAGCTAAATGGCAAAAGAATCAAAATAACTTCATAGCAATGGTAATGCGAAAAACTAAATGTTGAGAATACGATATGAAAAGACAAAATGGAAAGGTATATATGAAGCAACACTGGGACTCAATATTGACAAAATAAACAAAACGAATGCATCCGAACCACATCGCCCAAAGTCCTCAATAATCAGTAGTCAAGGTCAAGAGATACTAAACTTCTGCATACAACTCAATGCTCCGTAAAATTATCAATCATACAACTAGTCTTCAAATTTTCGGTTGGTGTCGCGGCACGAAGTCAAGCATCTGACTGATAATATCACATCAAACATCCCTTCTGATATCTTCAACACCTAGTTAACATCTCATTTCTGCATGTTCCATGTACTTAGTCTGCAGCCTATGATACAGTTACCGAATAATGGATTATATTCCGTTCTCAATAAGTGTATATATGGCAGTTTTCTACTTCAACATTCACCAAAAGGAAAGAGTGAAGTTTTGACATGTTCTGATTGATAAGAAGTCAATTCTACTTCCAACAAATCTTAATATCCAGAGGATAGCAAATCTTCAACAATTATTTTAAGTGTAAAGGCCAACTTTCTAATTTATAACATAAAACTGAGGGAAAAGCAAGATCAAAACTAGAGGATCTTACAGATTCCAGTGTGGTGAAAACATATGCAACTCAAATTTTCAGTATCCAATAGTTACTCAACATAAACAAAACGAAACTGAATCCTATATGCAACATGTTTTCAGTTCTATCGTTCAAAATTTAAGACAAAACACTGAATTTCTGCTGCATATTAGCGTTAAAAATATGTTTCATGGTTTATCACGCCGATAATGTTTTCAAATCTCAGCAAACATGGACATTCGTTCATAACTAAGACCGTTTTATCTCATCGTTATTGTAGTTGTCAAGTAGTTGAAAAAAAACTTCAGTTGTTTTACAAAATATGCTTTAGATTTGAAAAATAATTATTAAAAGCTGTTGTCACTAAGTCATCTTTTCGTTGCCCAATTATCGTCCGCAAATTCAAGAGTGTGACTTGGAAGTGTTCTATAGTTTGACAGCAGAAACAAGAAAGCAATCCTTTCATCTTGAGATTTTATTACATTAGTTTCGATAACTACAGATCTTAAGCATTGTTCTTGTGCGGAATTTCGGATCATCTAGCATAAAAAGTACTTTTAAACAAACCTGTTTTTTTTTCAAAGCTATCTGATAGGGAATTCAACACGAAAATAACTTTCATTACGCTAAAAAATTTCAGGTAAATCGGCCCAATGAACACATTGCCATTACTTAGTTATTATTAAGCTGATATCATTGTTCGTCTAGTATTCGCGTTTATGTTCCTATACTAAGTTTCCAGTTAAATTCAGTGTGGATCACACAACTATTATCAGCTTAAATTTAACGCGAATCAAACTCCTCATTCAGTAGTTAGAAACGTACTGTCTAGATTATTGATCCATGGTTTCATTAAGGTAGTTAGAATTTATGAAAAATTTACATCACGCACCCATAAAACTTATAAGCTATAGATAAACATTTTTTAGGTCCAGTTACTGAAATCCGGTAGTATCAATTTTATCAGTATTCCCGTTTTCTATTACATACTTCTTATATAAAAGTGACATCTGTGCATAGCACGGTGCAAATGAGTAATATTTACCATCGAATTTGTATGATTCGGTTTAGAAACTCAGTTTTTAAGATCATGTGTATTCGTTTTTTCTAATCTCTCAATTGCCTTTCTCAGTCATTTTAAACATTACAAGTCTAGAATTTTTCTATATTTGGGACATATCGACGCAAGTATTCTGAAATTATTCTTTTAGACTAAATCATGGCGAATCTGGACGCCGGTCAAACTTTGCAGAGCACCAGAGATCCACGTACGGCGATAGAAATTCCAGACCACGTCCTTCTCAAAGAATATCTCGACGTCCAACAAGTGAGCGACCCGATCGTTACCATCAGTCCCCAGAAGAAAACAGCCGATCTCGTAATTCGTTAGCATACAATTCAAATAGCCGTAGTCGCATGTTGAGAACAAGCAATGGTGTCCAACAAAGTCGTTCTCGTCAACCACGTTCTAATGTGATGCGTAATGCGTATAACATGCGACGCCAACCTAAAAATGAGTTTGCTTCAATGAACTACAGCTCTACAACACACTGATAACAAAATGCATTTCAGTTTATACCACTGTATCTTTAAAAAATAGACTTATTGTATTTACCTGAAAACTGGCTGAATATCACTACTGCTTTCCATTATGTTGTTGGTTTTCAGTTAATTTGATTGTGTAATTCAATTTCATTGGGGCAGTAAACATGTACGTCGTCTTTCATTCTCTAAGAACTGTTTTACGCGTTAGCTACAGAGCTTACGACATTTATGAAGAACAACAGTTCAATACCAAGTATCTAATCAAATGAAGTTGAGCTTTGTCCTCTTTTCTCACTACTTTTAATGAGTAGTATATTGGAAACACGAGTAAAATGTTATTGTTAGAATAAATTGATTAATTCTATGAAATTTCCTAGATGTACATTGGAGATTGAGGTTTGGATTTTTATGTGTTACTGAGAAAGCAAATAACACTGGATTCATGGATATATCGATATCATAAAATTGCATGAACGATGAATGAAGATGGTGTGGAGTATTCGGGAAATTTCCAGTTTTTCCGCCTACAGGTTCTTCACTAACCTATTGTGCACTTAGAAGTTGTCCTCTGATTAAGATAATCGTCGGTCCCACTCCAAATACCACCGTGTAACTATTCTTACGGCTGCTTTTCATATACAGTACTGTATACCGTTTTTTTTTTACATAACTGCGTCTTCGCGTTTATTTCCTAGTGTTTTCTGGATTCTATTGTGATTCTCAGGTATGGTTATCCGTGAATATTGCCTAACATCTCTCTAAGCTGAACTTAAATAAAATTAATCTTTTAGAAATCTTAATCACTTATGTGTGCTCAACGGCACTTCCATCAGATGTGTTACCTTACACATGCGACAGTCGTTCTTAAATTACTTTCATCAATAAAATATTAGGACTATTGATTTAGTGCTCTTCTTCAAGACAAACGGACATTCAACAAGAATAATCTATCACAAAAACATAATAATCAAAATCCTTACTAAACTCCAAGAAATCGGAATTGAATAAATCATAAATTTGGAACACGACCTGCATATGTTTTTCGGAATTTATATTGATGAATTTATCACGTTTGCGTGTATCAGCTTTCATGGATTATTATCACTATACGAAATCGTTTTCATCCTTAAGAATCGAGTTTTTCATCGAA